TTCCACTACAAGGAAAGCCAAGAAAACTCAGAGTCTGCAGCAGGAGGGAAGTTCACTTAATCTGGAAGAAAGTATGAAAAGCCCCCATGCCCAGCAGCACTATCACCATCAGTAACAATTTTGGTAGCAAATAAATAGAAGTCCAGTGAATCAGCAAGCCTGACATTCAGGTTTTGGGTGGGGCAAGGAACAGACTGGCACACTACCCGGAAACCTAACTGCCATGGAGAGCCTTGGTATACTCTCTGCACATCTCTGCTGCTTGGAGGGCTATGCACACAGACAGCAAAGACTGGAGAGCTTAAAGCTTTCCACACGTCCTTCCCTGACAGTGACTCTACATGTGCAAAGGAGATGCAGGGATTAAGACCTAGGTCACAAGTAAAGGCCAGGACAGATGTGACAACTAACTAGCCTGTGGGTGCTCCCCCACAATTCCATCAGCAGAGGGCAGAAGCCTTATTAACACAGGTGTGTGAGCACAGCTTGACTAATCACTGGTGATGTCTGAGCAATCCTGACACAGAGGGCACACCCATCAGGCCACGCTTAAAATAAAAGTGAGAAGGAAAAAAATTAACAAAGCTGGAAATCATGAAATAAACAGACTCTGCAGATTTAGTCCAACTAAATTACTAAAGAAACGAAGAGAAAAAAAAAAAACCTGCAACAACAACCCTTGGAGACTAAAATGAATCAGAATGCAAATGTGCTATAATATGTTATCTGAAGTGTGGAGTTTTCAAAAACAAGTCTTCAAAAGAGACATGCAAAGAAACAAGAAAATATGACCCATATACAGAGAAAAGAAAGGAAAGGAAAGGAAGAAAGGAAGAAACAAAGAAAGAAAATGAACAAGCAAGCAGTAAGAATAAACTGTCTTGGAGAGGGCCGAGATACTGGACTAACAAAAAAAGAGACTTAGAAAAAAAGAAAAGAGCAAAGCAACTGCAATGAAAATTAACCAAAGGAGCTCAACAACAGATTTGAGATGGCAAAAGAATGAGTCTGCAAACTTAAGGATAAGCTGATTAAAATTACCCAGTCAGGAACAGAGAAGAAAGGATGAAGAGAAAGGAGCCTCAGCGATGTGTAGGGCATCATCAGGTGTAACAACATATGAATCATGGGAATCCAGGACTGATGGGAGAGAGGAGAAAGAAAATGGCAAAAAAAATCTTAAAGAAACAATGGCTGAAAACATCCCACATATGTTTTTGAAGAAAAATGTATACCTATGGACCCACAAAGCATAATGAGCAAGGAGGATAAGCATACGACATCATAGTCAAATTAATGAAAATGAAAGACAAAGTCCTGGCAGCAGCAAGATAAAAGCAACAGAGCATGTACAGAACAATAAAATCAGTAATGACTCTTGTCATCAAAAACAACGAAGGCCAGAAAGCAGCAGACTGGCCTTCTACCACCTGAAAAAAAAGACTGACAACCAGGAATTATATAAACTATCTTTTAGAATGTAAGTGAAATAAAGACAATCTGAGAAAAACAAAATTACTATTATTATTTTTTTTTAGTAGTCCTTTGGGCTGAAATCAGGTAGCGCCATACGGCAACTCCATCCACAGAGAGATGAAGGGCACCAGAAATGGTAAATATGCGGATTAACACAAAAATTATAAAAATATTGAACTACAAGCCAGAATCCCTCATGATTATAGACGTCAAGATCTTCAACAAACTATTAGTAAATCAAATCTAGCAACATGTAATAGGGATTTCACATAGGAATGCAAGGTTGGCTTAACATCTGAAAATCATTTAATGCAATACACTATTATTCACCAAAGGGGAGAAAGAAAAAAGGAGCCAAATCACTTGATCATTTCAATGGACCAAAAAAAAAAAAAAAAAATGAGGCAAAATCCAATATTTCTTCACGATAAAACTCTCAACTCCCAGGAATAGAAAAGAACTCCTTCCACAAGGTAAAGGGTAGCAAGGAAAATCTTACAGCTGACATCATACTTAATGGTGAAAGACTAAAAGCAACAAGCAAAGACGTTCCATCTTCACCACTCCAGATCAGCAATGCATTCAAAGTGTATAAGGGAACAATAAAATAAAAAATTAAACACAGTAAAATTTGAAATGAAGAAGTAAAACTTACTTAATTCACAGATAACATGAGACTGTATGTGGTAAACCCAGGTAAGTCAATAAAAACCAAAACAACACACTAGAACTAATGGCTCAACAGGTCACAAGATACAAGATCAGCATAAAAAAAAAAAATCAACTTAATTTCCCTACTCTGGTAACCATCTGAAATGAAGTGTTTTTTGAAGATTATTTATTTAAGAGGGAAAGAGAGAGAGAAAGAGCATAAGTGGGATAGGTACAGGGCAAGGGAGAGAGAATCTCAAGCAGAGTCCATGCTGAGTGCAGAACCCATAAAAGGCTTGCGCTCACAATCCTGAGCTCACCACCTGAGCTGAAACCAAGAGTCAGATGCTCAACTGACTAGGCCACACATTCACCCCTGAAAATGAAATTTTAAAAGTTCCATTCACAATAGTATCAAAAAGTGTACAAAATTTAGAAATTTAACAAAAGAAGTATAAGATTGGCACCCCAAAAACTAAAAAACACTGCTGAAAGAAACAAAAAAGTATCTGTTAAGTAGAGACACTTTGTATTCATGGACTGGAAAACTAAATATTGTTAAGATGGAAATTATGCCCAAATTGAGCTACAGATTAAATCCTCTGTCAAATCCTCAGAGGCTTTTTGGTAGAAATTGGCAAGCTGATCTGAAATCTATGTAGAAGTGCATAGGAGCCAGAATAGCCAAAACAATTTTGAAATAGAACTTTTTCTTTGAAAAAGAATCAATAACCTGGATTTTAAACCAAATTGCTAGAACGCTAAAGCAATTAAGAACATGACACTGAAAAAAAAAAAGAACATGACACTGGCATGAGAAACAGGTATATAAATCAATGGAACAGAACTGAGAAGCCAGAAACAAATCCACACATTTATGTTCCGTTGATTTTTAACAGTGGTGCTGCAGTTCAATAGAAGGACAGACTTGTCAACATACGGTGCTGGGACAACTGGCTACGTATCTGTATAGGAAAAGATAAATCCAGATACTAACTTCACACCATATATAAAAATTAACTTAAAATCGATCACACATTGGGACACCTGGGTGGCTCAGTGGTTGAGTGTCTGCCTTCGGCTCAGGGTGTGATCCTGGAATCCCGGGACCAAGTCCCAGATCAGGCGCCTTACATGGAGTCTGCTTCTCCTGTCTCTGTCTCTCTCTCTGCCTCTCATGAATAAATAAATAAAATCTTTAAAAAAAAATTGATCACACATTTAAATGACAGAATACTATAAAAAATATGAAGAAAACAGAGCAGAAAATCTTTGTGACCCTGGGTTAAGCAATGGAATTCTGGCCAGCCCAGACTCAAAACAAGAGAAGTCAGCATGTCTTAGAGGAGTGTAAAGGGAATGGGGTGGGAGGTCCTGTGGCAGCCTACATGGCTAGGTCAGCACTCCCTAGTCCATACTGAATGACCATTCAGACATTAAACCTCTCCTTTGTCTCGCCAGAATGGCAATTTTATAATCATTTGTATGAATATCTGATTCTTATCTGTCTCTCCCATTATATAGAGTCAATAGGGGCAGAAAAAAGAATGTCTTTTATTAGTTCCCATGTATCTATCACATAGAAAGCACTCAAATACTTTGTTTCTAAACTAAATGAGTAGGGGCACCTGGGTGGCTCAGTTGGTTGGGTGTTCAACTCTTGATTTCAGCTCGGGTCATGATCTCAGGGTTGTGATATCGAAACCCTCATCAGGCTCTGTGCTGGTGTGGAACCTGCTTAAGATTCTCTCACTCCCTCTCCTTCTGACCCCCAGCCCCTCTCTCTTCTAAAAAGTAAAACAAAACAAAACAAAAAACTAACTAAATAAATGGATCACTATGTTGGCTTGAGGGAATTAAGGAAGTTTAACCATTTTCCGCTCCCGAGTAAAATGACTTAATACAATCCCATGTCTTGGTTTTTCTAAGGCAATCATGATTTAAAATATATCCTTTCCCTGGAAATTCAAATTCAAGTTTCCCTGGAAATTCAAATTTCCCTGGAAATTCAGTTTTCCTCACCGATAATATAGTCATGATACATGTGCTGCAATATGTAAGTCAATCTACTAGACCAAACCCAGATTGCTAAAGACAATCTGACCTCAGGCAGCTATTTGGCAGTTGTGACAGTTTCTCTAAATAAACTATCTAAAGAGCCAAAGCGTTCAATGTTTTAGGGTTTTTTTTTTTAATCTAGTACATGCAATTTATATAAAAGACCTAAATTAACTTTCATAATGGAGGTAGGGATACACTCTCTTTAAATTACCACGTTTTTTACAATGTCAAAGTATCTGCAAAGGGTTAAAATAGAATAGCAATTGTTACATTAACAAAGCATAAAACACCTGGTAGAAACCAGCTAACTATCTGCCCAGTGCCGTTCTTCCCTGTGCTCCGCATGCTTGTGTCTGTCATCATAGTTACCATGCTATACTGAAATCATTGGCTTATGCTTTTCTATTCCCCTACACTACATACACTCCTCAAGGGTAGGGACTGCTTTTATGCATGTCTGCTGGTCCAACACCACACACAATGCTTGCTGCATGGAAGGCACGGATGCGTTTATATTGGAGAACAATGGATTTGTAGATGATTTTAGTGTTACAAAAAACTTAGGACTTGAGTCCCAAAACTTGAACTAGTGATTGTGCCCCTCAACTTTCTTGGCCATGTAGCCTTACCAGTACTATCTAATGTCTCTAAAAATCTCTTGCCTCATATATAACGAAAGAAAAATGCCAACTCACAGGGACACTTTTAAGAAAGTGCTGTGCAAATAATAATTACTGATAAGAATTAATAAGGATTAACATAAAGGAAGGACTTTGAAGTAAAAATTAACTATCAAGGAAAATTGTACTAACAGGAATGAGGAACTTTTTGATTTCTTCCAGTGCATGTCCCATCCGGGCATATGCTTCTGCTGGCGGAGCGAAAACTTCAATGAGAACATGGAGGTCATCGTTGAGGTGGAAGTACTTTGCTTCTCCACTTTTCCTCAACTCTTCTTCCTGAAGAAAGAAAAAAAACACACTTAGAAGTGTGTCTTTATAGAGAAAAGAAACAGAAACACTACACAGCTGAGCCGGCATGCAGTTGTCACAGAAGGTTGACCCAACCAATGGCAGGCACCACTCTGAGGACTCTGATCCTACCATTCCCACCTTCTATGAAAACTCTGAAGGCTTCGTGCTGCTGTTGGAGTAAGTCTCAACTCCTGCCTCTGGCCTAGAAGGAGATGCTCTGCTGGATGCTCTCACTGCTCTGTCTCTCCTGCCCCCCCAAGCTCGACCCCTGCCAGGTGCCATTCAGACCCTTGGTCAGACTGACTCATCTCCTAAGCTCCCTCTACACTGGTTACGCTGAGTATCTGTGATGCTGCCACAAAGCATTTTCACCATCCAATTATCTAAAATACCTATTCCTCACTTGAATAGTATCTAATTTCCCTCACTGGAAGTGATCACAATGGAACAAAAACCACAACTGTCTTCTTTGGTGCTCATTCTTCTTGTCTAGAAAAGTGCTCGGTATACAGGTGATGCTCAACGAAATACCTTTGAGTGAACAGGTAAACGTTATTTACTTATTTCTATGTTCATTTGCTCATTCATCTACTGATTCAAAAAAACATTTCTACATGTCAGGCACGGTATCTGAGGAATAACAGTGAATAAAATAAATGAAAGATTTTATTGTATGACTTTACATAATTATGATACACATTAAAAACTTTTTTTTTTGTTTGTTTACAGAATAAAATTTGGGGGAAAAATAGGAGGAGAAAACCTAGCTCAGTCAACAAGACACAAATAAGTTTGGTCCATTATCTTTTCCTGACTAGCATTCATTATAGTGGCAAATGATAGAACCTGGGTCTTTTAAAGTCTTTTTTTTTTTTTTCCCAACATTCAAATCAGACAGATTAAGATGAGTAGAGTGATTTCCAAAATGGGGGACACCTTCCAAGCCTCTCCAAAATACCAACCCCTTGAACTCCTGGCAGCAAACACTTTAATTCCACCACAAGCCAAGAGGTCAAAGAGGCACAAGCACTCTTGACTCCAGCGTTTAAAACTTCAACTTTTGGGCAGCCCTGGTGGCTCAGCGGTTTAGCGCCACCTTCAGCCCGGGCCTGATCCTGGAGATCCCGGATCGAGTCCCATGTCAGGCTCCCTGCATGGAGCCTGCTTCTCCCTCTGCCTGTGTCTCTGCCTCTGTCTCTCTGTCTCTCATGAATAATAAATAAAATATTTAAAAAAAATAAAATAAAACTTCAACTTTTGTTACTTCACTACTTTGATTTCTTATAAAGAAAAGAGAGATCTCCATTTAGAGCATGACAAGGACATGGGGTTCTGAGTAGATATACCCAAATATTAGCCATGCCAGCACGAGGTGTGTGTGTTTAGACAGATAAAATGTAATCCAACCCTTAATCTGCAAAATCAATTTGGTGTTAACATAAGTATATTAATGCAGGAGCACTGAGAAGAGTAAAAGGACCAACGTTATGTAAATGGCTGGCAAAGGAGGTCGTGTACATACTGCCCAGCGCACTGCCTTACATGTGGCAGGACTCAGTAAGCGCTCGTTCCCTTCCCATTTACGGAAAGTAGGTCAGAAACTGTACGGAAAGGAGGAAAATGTTTGAAGCAAGGAGAGCAAATATAAACCTCCACAACATCCCCTGTATTTCCTTCACATATATAAAGCATGATTCTTTCAGGCCAACTGTAGACAATTTGTTCTAATCAGAACACTTTCCATCACTTGGTCTGATACTCTGCCTTTCATACCTGAAGTTTTAAACACCAAATTTCATGTTCAACAGTTCACTTTTGAAAGTAAGAATTACTGACATAAACATTGCACCTTATCCTACTACAGTATCACAGTAACGACACTAATGAGAGTCCGTAACCATGACTCACAGTGCAGCCCTGCCACTGCTACCCCAGATGGAAATAGAATAGAGGCTTTCGGGGATCCCTGGGTGGCTCAGCGGTTTAACACCTGCCTTCGGCCCAGGGCATGGTCCTGGAGTCCTGGGATCGAGTCCCACGTCGGGCTCCCTGCATGGAGCCTGCTTCTCCCTCTGCCTGTGTCTCTACCTCTCTCTCTCTCTCTCTCTCTCATGAATAAATTTTTTAAAAATCTTAAAAAAAAAAAAAAAGAATACAGGCTTTCTCATCCCAGCCTGCTGCCACACACCTCCACAGAGTGAGGCGCTTCCCCAGCTTGTGTCCTGGGCTAATGGGGACAAGCAACGTGGTGTTTGGGGAAGAACATAGACTTTGTTCCACTTTCAAATCCCCAAGTCAACATTTACTGTATAATTTAAGACAGGTCACTTTATCATCTTGAAGGTGATTTTAAGAGCAGAATAACAGTATAGTATCACTGTTCTTAGGGTTGTTGTAGTAATAAAGGAGTTATCAGAATAATAATTAGAAGTTATTAGTAATATAAAGGAGTTGTAGTAAAAACGAAGTTTCATGTTTAAAGACACAAAAAGTCTTCAGAATTATGCATAGTACATAATAAACACTCAATAAATAATGAATACAGCATTAATTATTCTACTATTCCATAATATAGAAGATAAGAGCAAAACAGCTAGCATGCTTGGCACAAACTGAAGGCTTAACAGATCATAGCATTATAGTGATTATTATGCTACATAACCAGCTGATACAAGTCAGTAATGACTCCCATAATTTCATCAATGCAGAAAATACAAGAATAAAATGAATTATGGTCTCATTAGAATTTAGATAGTGAACACTTTGAAAAGCTAAAAGATGAGATTTTAATACTAAGTAATGGAAATCTCTTTAGAAATAAACATTATTAACTGAGAATATCTGCAGACTGCAAGGATTGACAGAAATCAGCATTCAAGAGTTCGGGTGGCGAGGACCCATCTGCAGTACAGAAGATGGGATGTCTACCAGTGGCACCCATTTATGTAGCAAACCTGTTGCTTGAATTACCACCTGTGGTGACATCAAGTGAAATGCTTCTGAAGGTGGAACTGGTGGCTATGTGTGGCAGAGGCCAGCACCCAGTATGATGGGTCAGAGGAAAAAACAAGGCAGGTGGAGTTGTTGCTTACTGTACTGAAGAGTTTTAAAAACTCAATGACAGACTCAAGACCTGACATTATGAGGTTAAATCTCAAAGAGCCAGAAGTAGCCTAAAAAGTTTACTGCTTATGGCCACAGGCTGATGGAGCCAACAGATGCAGAGTTGAAGCCTGTGTGCTGCTGAATGACAATACGGACTGCCCACCACCACTGCTGTGAGATTTAGGAAAAAGTCTGAAGAACAGTGAAGTTCTGAGAATGGATTGGCAATACCTGGGAGAATTCAAATAACCCTTAGTATTCAAATGTTAAAGCCCTACTGGGACATCCCCATTGGCAGAAGCCTGTCTGGTAAGGCTTTTCCCACCGTGTTTTGAATAGCCAAGGTAGTTCCTTGAAAGGAGATGAAAATTCTCAGGTTATTTTTTGGAATTTATATTTATTATATTATTATTATTATTATATATTTATATTATATTTATTTTTTATTTTTTTAAGATTTTATTTATTTGAGAGAGCGAGAGAGCAGAGAGAGCGAGCATGTGTGCATGCACAAGTGGGGTGGGGAGGGGCAGAGGGAGAGGGAGAAGTAGGCTCCCCATGGAGCAGGGGGTCTGACTTGGAACTTGATCCCAGGGCCCTGGGACCGTGACCTAAGCCAAAGGCAGACAATCAACTGAGCCCCCCAGGTCCCCCAATTCTCATGCTTTCTTACTGATTCTCTGGATCACCTCCTGGCCTAGGACCAGACCCTAGCTTGCCCTATGGATGCAGAGAGTAAGGAAGCTAGGGATAACTGTGAACACCTCCTTGTGTCCATGTAACACTTCCACCTTGCCCTCCCAACAAGGATCTGGGGCCTTTTACCGGAGCGACTATACACTGAGAAGAAGAAATGCCCAGAAAGCCTGAGGATAAGCAAACTTGACTCTGAGTAAATGCTGCTCTACTGAGGGCCACTGATGACAGGGTGTCTACAGAGTCAAGAGATAAAAGACTTCTGATCCTATCCCTTCACAGCAGACTCAACAGACTGTAACCCCAAAATGTATGCTACTTCCCCAGTTTCTGGGTGTCTTGATGGAATGGAAATGATCAGCTACTTACAGAGTCCCTGTATTGATTCTCAGACCCACATGGTCAACGGCAGAGAATGAGAGGATTAATAAAAGGCTGGTAAGTGGACTAAGAAAGCAGCCTATGGAGTGCCTAAGACAAGGGGGTGCCCCGCTCCAGGAGGAGCAGGTGTTCGGTGACCAGGTAGACAAAGGGACTCATTTGAGCAGATGTCAAAGCACCTCATTCCCCAGCCCCCTCAGTGCTACTCAAGGAACTCGAACAAAGCGTCTATGGTGACAGGCAGAGAGGTCATATATTACTTCACGTCAGACTCCCCTCAAAAAGGATTCTCGGCTACTGCACTGCCCAATATGTCAACGCAGGGACAGCCCTTAAAAATGACAACAAGGGCAGCCTGGGTGGCTCAGCAGTTTAGCGCCGCCTTCAGCCCAGGGCGTGATCCTGAAGATCCGGGATCGAGTCCCATGTCAGGCTCCCTGCGTGGGGCCTGCTTCTCCCTCTGCCTGTGTCTCTGCCTCTCTCTCTCTCTCTCTCTCTCTCTCTCTGTCTCTCATGAATAAATAAAAACCTTTAAAAAAATGACAACATAATCCGGAAAAAACACCAAGTGCTAAGAGCAAAGTGATAATATTTAGAATCCTTTTCATTAAAGGGATAGCTAGGCACTTGCTATTACTTGAACATACAATCTAGCTAAAGACTTGCCTTACCTGCTTCCTCTATCTGTGGATGCCCTCATCCCTGCCACTATATGCCACGAAATGTTGCTTCTAACCAAAGAAACTCCCTTAACAACAAAATAACAAACAAAATAAACAGTATGTTGATGAATTTCACTGGTCATATCATGTGCCTGGTGACCAGATGACCTTACTGAAGACCTTATTAAGCTATCAGGAAGGATGGGTCATTTTCCTAGAAGATACACAAAATTTCTGACCAACTGAACAATATATGATTCCATTTCCTCCAACTGCCAGAAGAGATGAGTCAGAGAATCAAAAGTAACACCATTTGAGACAGCAATGCTTGCTAACCTAACCTAGCCACGCATTAGAATCATTTCACACCCACTGAAAATACATTTGAGATTCTATCCTAAAAATGTTGTATGGGAATCTATATTTTTAAACAGCCTTCCCTATGAGTGTGATACGTAGCCCTGTTCTAATCAAATAATTTAACTTCCCTGATTAACCCAGATAATATACTCAGGTTGTCTAAATCTCATTTTTTTACGTGGAAAATATTATCTATCTTTCATCATTTTTCCAAGGATAACACAGAGTAATGCACTCACAGTGGCTGTTCGACAAACGGCAGCCATTTTTTATTATAAAAGCCTTTGTTTAGATGGACTTTTTCGAGAGGAAGCTGGATTTTGTCTAAATAACTTTCTTGTCTGACACAATCATTGTTCAACATTTCATGGAAAGTGACCACTGAATGTGGGTTTGGTTTCCAGTAACATCAATCTTTTCACAGTGACAGAGCAACAAAATGACAATGGAGAACAATGTGAGTGATAGCACATTATGAAATGTGAAAATCTCTTTCAGAAGTGGTATATTTAAGAAAGTGATCAATAAAAATAACAGTAATTTTAGCTTATTAAAAAAAAAGAGGCAGTTGGAGGGAATACAGTCAAGTAGAACAACTGTGTGTTAGAATCCTAAGCCATTATTAAAACATTTCAAATCAATTTTCACTTGACAAAATGTAAAGGGTATCAAATGAAGGGCAAAAAGAGCAAATCAGAGTGTATATTATATAAACTCAACTATTTGAAATAAAGGCATAGAAAAAAGGCCCCCAGGAACTCATCTAAGATGCAAACAGTGTCAATGAGACCGCGGATAACTTTTATTTCTCTTTGTGGTAATTTTGGTATTGCTGTACTTGCTATAAGGTATTGCTTCTACAGTTGAAACCACAGGCACTGCTATTTCATTTTACAAATGAAGGCAATAGTTACAGACGTACAGTGTATGACATCATATAATCTGAAACTGGCCCAAGTGACTCACTTTTCCACACAGGACTACAAACTCATTGCCTTACATAACATTATCATATAATGTCATTTGCGATCCTAGCTAGCTCTTACATAATTTATATTAATACAATGGATAATCTAAGAGTACATCAGATAACTTGTCTCCAAAGTAGCCATTGTCTATGATGAATGTTACCTTTGCTTTGTCTCGCATGGAACCTTTCCCAAGGATGGACATTTTTGTCAAGGTTTCTTCTTGTAAACGCTTCAGAGAATTGCCACGGGGACCCAAAAGTTTCCCCACAAAGTTGAACTAGGGAAAAAACAAACAAACCAAATTTGTAACATTCATATCTGAAAGGAATTTATCAATTTTGAATGCCAGAAAACACTATAGTATGCTACACATCACTGGTTAATGGCAAAAACTTAAATTCCTGCTATATGTATCACACAGTACAGTTTTCCACAAGTCACATAAAACAGGGCTAAACATTATAAAGTAAAAACCAATCATTTCAATGACAGCTAGATTTCACAAATTATAAATTAAGCTTATTCCCAGAATGCATAGGTTGCTATCCTGACAATTTTAACACACATTCGACATCAACCCTGAACAGGGTTAGGACGAGGATACTGGTGGGAAAGATGTAATGTGCTCTAGGCTGGTCATTATGGAACATCTGGGTCCTTCCACCTAGGTCAGCACTCAAGCCTTAGTGAGTCAACCAGGAAGCACACTGGCCTAGATGAGTTCTCAAGCATCTCTTCTAAAATATCTATCTCTTCTAAAGTAACTAGGTATGGAAATGTTGACAAATTATTTAGTCTTAATTCTTAGGGTTCTTTATTTAACAAGCAGAGCAGAAATGAATTCATAAAGGGTATGGGACTCTGAGGCGACCTTGCCATGATTTTAAAACCTGGCTTTTCCACTTACCAACTGAGTAACCCAGCTTGTAACGGGATTACCTGACCTCTCTGTACCATGGGCTCCTCTGTAAAATGAGAACGGCGAAAGACAACAACCTACCCCCAATAAGGCTGTGAGGGGGATTAAATGGGTCCATATAAATAAATCAGAACAATGCTTAGCACAGAATAGACAATAAATATATCTTGAATGAAAGGATTATTATTATGAATTTCACACAACTTTTAAAAGCCTTACCATAATTAAGGTAAGTCACGAATACTTTTTGTTCACAGAAAGAAAGTCAGCCCTACTGACCAGGAGAAACACCGTTCTCTTTGGCAAAATTCCTGATTACAAACTTATACAGCTGCTCTTTTGGTATCAGCAATCCTCCATGATCTATGCCACTGCTGTGCTGTTGCTGTTTTTAAGAGAAAACTGTTCCTCAATTTCTCCATGGTAATTGAAGAAATTTTCTTAAAATATGAACTTTTTAAAAATCAAAATGGTATTTTTTCCTTGCCTACTTTTGTCTTCAACGAAAACTCCAATATCTATAGTATTTTTAACCTTCACATGTATTTTGTTTTTAAAATTTAATGTTAAGTTGATTACTTTTTAAAAATATAGAAATGAAAAAAAATAAAAATATAGAAATGATACGTATAGAGTTAACAATAGCAAATAATACAACATAGGAAAAAAAAAATCAGTGTTTCCTCCCACCCATCTCTACCTTATTCTTGGTTCCTGATTTTCTCTGCTTTATCTTCCTGGAAATTCTATTATTTGGCTATTGGGACCTCCTGAGTTGAAACTCTAAATTTCTCTTACTTTTCTTCTTTCTCTTTCACCTTCTCACTCTATTTTACTTTCTGGGAGATTTAAGTATATTTCCTACATATCTATTGATTTTTTTTTTTTACTTCTGCTATCAAATGTTTAACTACTAATAGTATTTTCTTATATTTGTTCTTTTTATAGCACTTTAAAAATATTTTATGGAGGTGTTATAAATTCTTATATCTCTGAGGATATTCATGGAAGTGCCCTCCCAACCCTGCTCCAACTTGGAGTTTATAGTATCTACTTTTTCCAACAGATTCGCGCTTTGTGAATTGGTCTCTGTCTCTTTCTACATTATGGGCTTTCCTCCAAGCAGTAATCCCTTGCTTCCTGCTTTTAAAAATTTAAGGTCGAGGAGGCTCCAAAACATTACCTGGAAGTACTGCTTTCCTCCATGGGATTTGACAACCGGACTTGACAATTCACTTTAAGATGGCAGGCCAGTTTTTTTCAACATAAGTTACTCAAATATCAGTATCTGTTTCTCTTCCCTTGGCCTAGGTAAGCATTACCCTGAATAGGAATTCCCCAATCTCCCAGCAGGAGGTATCAGCCTGGCTGTTGGAATGCTGGGATTCCCACTGTTAGGTATGCGTACCTTTATTTAAGGGAGATAATACCCTCATTGTCCGTGTGGCATCTCTGGCCCTCAGTTGTATCCATCTGGGTCTCAGAGCCCAAAGCTTCTCTGTTCAATCCCTTCAGGATATCTCTAGCCTGCTATAGGTTGAGAGGGCAGATGCCTGGTTTTATCAGCCAGGAAGAGCCTCCAGTAGTCTAACCACTTTCTCATACAAACATTGACCCAGGTCTCCTTTTCTTCAGTTCTGCCCAACAATCCACCTTCTCCATAACTGGCAGTGTGACCAGGGCTATTCCTTAGCCCTCCCAGTCCTCAGGAGGCCAAGTCATGGCTTACCAGAGCCCTCACACTGGAGGGTTATCAGAAAGTTAAGGCACACCAGGTAAGTGCTTAGCACTGGGATACGCTGAATTTACCCCAAGCCCATGCTCCTGAAAAACAGTGATGGTGAAAACCTCAAGCCCTTTCCATTCCTGGGAATGGCTCACTGCAAAGAACTACTCCTCCCCACGTGACTTAGAGATATGGATGACCCTCTGTTCACCTACGGCAAGGCCAGACACAGACCCCCTAAGTCTGCATTCTTTGTCCCAAGAAACATTAGCTGATGTGTTTGTCCCCACTGACAATCACAAAATGTCCATTAACCTGACCTGATCACACTTCAGGCAAGTTCTCTCTTTTCTCAGGCCCGTGACTGTGACCCACTAGCAACCTGGGCAACCCTCCAAGGGCCTTCCACTTCAGGCGCCAGCTTCAGGGCCAGCGTTCGCTCATCCACTACCCCACCATATCGCCCCGTCCCGCTCCTCCCACGTCCCCAACCCTGCTGGCCCTGTCTGCTCCCAGTAAAAGGAAAGCCTTTGCCTTCTGACTGATCCTACCAGGCTCAGAACTATTCCTTATTATACGTCCCCCTTCCTGCTCTTGTAATAACACTTTCAAATAAAGATTTTCCTTAACCTAAATCGGGATCTGTTTTTTGACGGACAACTCTATTCATAAAATAAGAATGTAATACATTTTAACTTTCATTTTTATTAGTATTTCATTTGTGCATAGATTTGAATAAAAGGTGAATGTGTTATTTTAAAGATGAATGATATTTTTCCAGATGTCAATTATTATATTACAAATATATTATCATATTACAAATGTTACAATTGCAAATAGAAAACTTTACAAAGCTGGTAAACCAACAGAGTTTTCACTGCATAATGTATAAAATCCCATAATGATGTTCTGTGTTGGTAAAGACCAAATGCTTTTCTGGACTGGCTTTGATTTAAACTATATTTATGACAAGACCCTGTACCTCCAGCAACAATTACACTTAGGCTTGTTCATTGCATAAACAATGGAATCTCAAGAACATGTCACTGTCTCCACTAAAAGGTCCCCTTAATTGGGTGTTCACCAAAAAGTTGGTTAGTCAACAAAGGGATGCTTTATTGAATTCCAACTCAACCCTAAAACTGAACTCCCTGTGCCAGTGCAGCTACAAGCGTTATCTCCAGAGCTCCTCAGCTCAGTGAGCGGCCCTGAAGGTGGTACCCTGACTCGAGCCAGAAATCTGACAGTCACTCCATGAGGGTAGTGACGAGGACTTTGTGTTCACTATTTCAACATCTGTGCAAGGAGAGCATTTTTAAAAAAGATGTTATTTATTTATCAGAGAGAGATAAACAGAGATAGTGAGAGTAAAGTAGGGAGGAGAGGGAGAAGCAGGCTCCCCACTGAGCAGGGAGCCAGATGTGGGTCTCAGTCCCAGGACCCTGCAATCATGACTTGAGTTGAAGGCAGATCTTTAAGTGGCTGAGCCACCTGGTACCCCAAGACAGTGTTTAATGAATGCTCAGCGGCCTTACTGTGTCTTCTCGATTTCACTTCTTCAGTGTCTCTCACACAGTCTATTTCTCTGTAGTCACATCACAAGCCCTGGCTACAATCCTCGCTCACCTCGCCCACCACAGAATTCTTTCACCCAATCGACCTCTATCTCCTCAATCAGCACAGAGCTCTTCACACAAAGGTCACTTTGGTACATCTCTGATTAAAATATAAGTCCCAACTACCTTCAGAATGAAGTGCCGATGTCCTGACGCTCCTGTAGGAGGCCCCTCCTGCCCTGGCTTTTGCCCATATCTCTGCCTTCACTGCTCTCCTGCTTTTGACTTCAGTCATCGGACTTGCTGCAGTTTCTCAAAACTACCATGTTCCAAGAACTACCCATTTCAGTTCATATGTAGAGCTAAGAAGAACATTATTCTAGCCCTTTAAGGCAAGAAGAGAGTTGGGCAGAAGGCAGGCTAAAGCCCAAGTCCCAGGGCAAACAGCAACCACAAGGGGCAGAGTTCAAGCACCTGCAGGGAGCCAGGAGAGTTAAAGAGCATTTGCTTATCTGGGGTGGGCTCACAGGAGAGCACTAAGCCCTAAAAGCCACAGCGTTAGAGAAGAGACACAGGCAGAGGGAGAAACAGGCTCCATGCAGGGAGCCCAACGTGGGACTCGATCCCGGGTCTCCAGGATCACGCCCTGGGCCGAAGGCGGTGCTAAACCACTGAGCCACCCGGGCTGCCCCTCTTAGAGGTCTTCCGTGCAGGAATTCAACACTCCCGCCCCTGACCCCCATATGCTCACAGGGAAGATCAGGAACAGGAGGACTCCTGAGGCCACTTCCCTGGGAAGCCACTGCTGAGATGGCTCATGCCCATGCCCTCATCACCCGCCTGAACAAAAGCTTCATCTGCAGGAGCAAGGACAAAAAAAACCACTTTGCTTCTTTGTCTTTTAAAGTACTGACAAGGTCAACAAAACACGTAGTCAGATCAGGTTCTAGTCCTTGGTAGTGTTCTTACTACTCCAATGCTGGTGAAGCAGTGAGCTTGCTCTGGGTGCCGAGGGGAAAACAGAAAGAGATGATGCCCCTGCCCCAGCGGAGTTTCATGTTCCAGTGGTGAGAGCC